GTTTCCAAGAAGAGTCAAAAGCAATGCTTGGCCCTTGGAAAACTAAACCACACCTAAAACTAGTGCTAGTGACAAGGATGTAGCAAGTAAGTTTGTGCACTTATTTATTTGTGAAAATTTCTTAATTACTTGGCCGTGGCAACCCCACAGAATTTTCTTGAGATGGGACAAAATAGGGGTGACAGCAGTGGGTCTTTCACATCTGAAAGAAGCCCTGATCTGAAATGTAAGTACCAAGGTGATAAACTCTTTGATAAATGCAGGTTATTTGATGTTTAGGAACTGGAGAGAGGCAAAACTATAATTGTAAGGCCCATCACCTCTTCTGCACCATCTCAGTAGTGATGTGTCTCTTCCTCACCATTTTAATGTTGAAGTGCTTACACATTTAATGCAGTTCTCACAACACTGCTTGAGGGAGATACTATTTGGCTATTAAACCAAAGAACAAGAAATTGAAGTCAGATCTTCATTGACTCAATCTACTAGAAGAACTCTATGTTCTTTGTGGCTTCTGGATCCTGACCAGGGCTGCTAGTCAGCTTACAGTGTTGGGATGGGGGATGGTTTGGCTTTGTACAGTTCTGATGAATATTCATTTCTATACTACTGGCTTTTTTTTTTCTTTGTATGCTGATAACATTTCTCTCCTGGTATCTGTTCTTTGCAAAGACTTTGCAAGGAGACTGCACTCTTTTGTTTTCATTTGGGTTTGAGTTTAATGTCCCCACTTGGCAGCAATTTCTATTGAACTCAATCTCTTTCTGTTCTGAGGAGTACAATGTGTCCTTGCAGCAAACAAAATTTCAGAGATGGCCAAAGACAGGTCAAAAGGGAAAAATCCCCAAACTGGGAAAATGCAATGAAAAGTCACATATGACCACACAAAGTTAATCCAAAGAAGGGCAATGAAGATGGTGAAGGGTCTGGAGGGGAAGCCATATGAGGAGCAGCTGAGGTCACTTGTTCTGTTCAGCCTGGAGAATAGGAGACTGAGGGGAGACCTCATTGCAGTCCACAACTTCCTCATGAGGGGAAGAGGAGGGGCAGACACTGATCACTTCTCTGTGGTGACCGGTGACAGGACCCACAGAAATGACCTGAAATTGTGTCAGGGGAGGTTTAGGTTGGCTGTTAGAAAAAGGTTCTTCACCCAGAGGGGGGTTGGGCACTGGAACAGACTCCCCAGGGAAGTGGTCACAGCACCAAGCCTGACAGAGTTCAAGAAGCGTTTGGACGATACTCTCAGGCACATGGTGTGACTCTTGGGGATGGTCCTGTGCAAGGCTAAGGGTTGGACTCCATGATCCTTGTGGGTCCCTTCCAACTCAGCATATTCTGTGATTCTGTGATCTCAACTTCCAGAACTTCAGGTTATTGTCAAACTAAGGACCACTTTTTTAATTCCGAAGAGCAAAGAGTTCCTGCCAAAATTCACAGGATGCAGTTTTGAAGAGAAAAATCTGTCTTCCTCAATATTACACAAGAGGTCTCCACTGATGGGACAATGCATCCTGCAAAAAGGATCAAGTTTGTTGTTACTGTTACACACAATTGTCACACATAGAAACAAAGTCTTCTAAGTCCTAACTGAAAACATGCCAGGTGCTCCATGTGGTCTTCTGGAAAGGACATGGCCTGTAAAACCACACATAGGCCAAATAGGCCTATTTCCTCTGTGCTACAGAACAGAATTTTGGTCATTGTTACCCAAATCCTGTTAAGACCAGCGAGGACAGACATAGGTAATATTTGCTAATTTGTTAGTAACTAATTTGTTAGCAGTTTAGATTTAAAAAAAGATACTTAATACTTTTTTTTCCCTAAGCCATAGAGTAGACAGAAATGTTAAATGGACTTTGAATCACAGAATGACTGAGATGGGAAAGAACCTGCAGAAGTCATCTGGTCCTTCTCAAGCAGGGTCACCTAGAGCTAGTTGCCCAGGATCATGCCCAGTTGGCTTTTGAATATCTCCAAGGATGGGGAACCCACAGACAACCTCCCTGGCCAGCCTTTGTCAGTGCTTGGTCCTCCTCACAGTAAAGCATTTTCTGATGTTCAGAGGGAACCTCCTGTGTTTCAGTTTGTACACATTGCCTCTGTCCTGTCACTGGGCACCAGTGAAAAGAGCCTGGCTCCATCCTCTTTGCACCCTGCCTTCAGGTATTTATACACATTGATGAGATCCCTCTGAGCCTTCTGTTCTCCAGGCTGAACAGAGATGCTCTATCTCTCCCAGAGATGCTCCAGTACCTTCATCATCTTAGTGGCCCTTTATGAGACTCTGTCCAGTAGTTTCATCTCTCTCTTTTACTGGGGAGCACAGAACTGGACACAGATGGAAAAAAAAGTTGCATATTCCTTTCCAACAATGATTTCCTCAGCAGGCATAAAGCAAACTTTTTTCCCTCTACACTTGTTTTGCATCATCTTTTTTGCACAACCAGCCATCTCCCTTCTTTTCAGCAACCAACCCCACTCAGAGGGAACACATCCATTCTATTCCCAGAACTGGAGATACTCATGCCACGGTCTCACGGAAAGTGCAGTTATCATTACTGATGTGCTAAGAGTCAACATGCTGACATTCAGGTGATGGCCTCAAGTTCAGGAGGACAAAGTATGGAGGTCACCTGGGCTTCATTGTAAAAAGCAGCTATAGACAAGGGTGCCAATAGCTGAGCACGTGAGTGTCACTACTCAGGATTATTCTCTATTAGACTGGCTGACTTTTACTCTTTTGCACCACCCTGTTTCAATCACATCTAATCATGATGTTAGTCTTCTTGTAGATGGGAGGACCATCAATGCTATCATTACAAGCAGTTGCAAGCATTCTTTTCCCTTCATACAAATATTTTTAGCTTAAAAAGACTGAAGTTTGGGGCTCAGGTTGTCCCACCTGGATCAAACCACCTGCTCAAGCACTCTGTATGTGACCAGTGTAAAGCACTACGGACACAGTTCATTTGTAAAGCCAAGAATAGCAGGGAGATGCTCTAAAGAACACTGCTTCCTCCCCCAAGGAAACACCAGCTAAGTGAGAAATGAAAATCACTTTTTCTGATGTGAAGAGCAAAGGGAGGCCAGCATTGTCATAGCAGGAGGTATCACTAAAAGCTGCTGCCCTTCAGGAACCCTGGAGAAAGGACACTTGGCTTCATTTGAGTGTGTGTGGATGCGTGTATGCATGTGGTGCTGCAGTTTACACCTGTATCAAAAGACACCCTCTTTCCAATCCTCTGATAATACAATTCATAAAAATAGCTCAGGTGTGATATTCAGCAAGTAAAATGGAAAAAGGGATCCCTTTTTGGGTGGATCTAGTAGACAGAAGAAAGTAACAGAAGAGGAAGGCAGGTGTTTTAACTCTCCCAGTGTCATATCCTCCTTACTTCATTTGGAAGGAAAAAGAATTACTGAATTAGAGACATCTATTTTCGCTTCCTATCTCTACATTATAGCTTTTAAGGTCATAGCAAAGGGACAAACTTCCCTTCCCCCCTCAGCTTCACTTTCAGCTTATATAGTTTTCTAAACCCAGATGAGTTTGTCCTGCAACTGCAAGATAAGGAGATATTCAGCTTAAATTCAGATAACCCTGCAGGTAATTCAGTCAGAAAGAAGAGCCAGGAAAATTTTGCAAAATGGATTTATATACCCAACATCTACTCAACAAGCAACACTGAAACCATGACTCCTTGGAAGACAATGGGGGAGTGGCCAAGAGTTTACTGCAGAACAGTCCAAACACATATTTAGTCTCCTTCGGAGTCAGTTCCTCACCTTTGTTTGAACATTATGTATTCAGGACTAGGTGCTGGCCCAGGAGCAGATGCTCAGCTTGCTGACTCCACCACTCCATCAGCGGAAGCACAATTCATGCTGGAGTACCAGATTTGTTGCAAATGCTGTCTCCTCAGAAACAGAGCACTAAACTGTCATTTAAATCCACTTTGGTGTGCCCATGTTTCCGTCACCATGAGATACACTCCCTGCACAGCAAAGCAAGTCAGGTCTTTGGCCAGAAGGCCCTGAGTCCGAGGTAACACAGAACATCAAAGTGCAGCAAAGTTTTGTACATCTTCTCAAGCTGGAATGAAATATTGGCAGGCAACTTGCTCATCTTGCATAGCTTCAACAGAACACTTCAGTCATCAGAAAACTTGCACAAGTTGTAATGAAAAGCCTTCCAAGAGGAAACAAGCTTCTAGTTTCCAGGAGAGAAAGTGGGAGGACTTAGAAAACAATTAACACTCAAGCTGGAAAAATAATATTTTTAGTGCTGTGTGAGTTATGTTTGAAAATATGCTTTAAAATATGCTGCCTAGAGGGGAACCATCAACAGGCTGTATGACCAGGGAAGCCAAGGTGGCATTATTTCAGAGAACGTGACTGCAAAATGCTTCATCACAGTTTATAGGATGTTTAAAAAGAGAATTTTCCTTGAAAATACATAGCAGTCCTGTGATGCACACATGAAAGTCCACTCACTCTTTACTGCAGCAGCTCACTGGACCAGAATTAATGCCATGGATTGTGTTAACCTTTTTTTTGAACTCAAAAGTGAATTACTGTTGGGTAAACAAAGGAGAAGCTTTACTTTCTTTTGATGTTCTAACTGAAGAAAGAACACCAGGCTTCTCTAGGTGGCAATGAACTCTGTAGTGGTAAACATCATGGCCTCCCCACTTTAGAAGGGAAAAGTAAAGTCCAAAATGGGGCAAGACTGAGCACCACCAATGTCCTGTGTCACTGCAGCTACAGACCACAAGGCCTGCTGAAACAGTGGATACGGGAAAGCCCTTGGTCTGGTTTGCAGTTCTACTCTCTACACCACTTTCTTTGAAGTGCATCAGCAATACCATGCTAAAATTTGAAATGGATTAATGGAACAGAGAGTTGACTCTTCAGAGAAGATCTCTTCGGAAAAAAAAGGGTTTTTTTCAATCATTCATCTTGATAATTCCCTTCTAACAAGGTAATTTTGGTCAATCCAGGTTTTTAAATACTGTTTATTTTTAAAAGAAACCATAAAATATGACAACAGGACAATGGGAGTCATTCAGCAATATCAGTTTTGGGTCTATAGAGGAAATTAATAAAAAACATCAGCATTTTAAAAAAATATGACTAACCATATGGAAAACAGGAAAAACAAAATTCATCTTCAACAACACAGACAGATATAAATGCTGAAATGTTGCTGTGCAAGGTAGAGGTAGAGGTAGAGGTTAACCAGACTTTTCCAACCTAGACCAGTTTTAGATTTGCCCACCCTCCATGCACACACTCCCAAAAGTTCCTGTTGCCAATAATTTCATTTGAATCAGCCTGTCAGCTTCATCAAACTCAAACAAGTCTGTGTGTTCTTGTAATGCTCTGAGCTGGAAAACTATTTCAGTTTTCTGTAGAAATTAGTTGCTGAGCAACCTGCCCCCTGGTTTTGCAACTTGTGCAGCAAAGGAAGAGGCAGGAAGATTACACAGACGAATAAAATGCTCTCTGGATGATGCCCACTAGGACAAGTAGATGGTAGAGCCCTTTTAGGAATTGCAGTAGTCCATCAGCTCCTTGGCGATGCACCAGAGAACACACAACACTGCATTTGGGGTTCCTCCACTGAAGAGAGCATGGTCAGCAGAAATATCCCAAATCAATAGGTACTTGCTGTGGGAGAGCCGATTGCCTAATACAGTCTGTTGATACCAAAAACTCACATGGTGGGGCACAACCCAAGAGCCCTCTGTACAAAGCAGTAAGTGTCTTGACATAGTTAAATATAAAAACTAAAAATTGCACTGCACACAGATTTTCCAAATGAATTCAAGACAGCTGAAGTCAGATCGTACAAACCGTTAGTTAAAAAAATACCTTCTTGAATATTTTGAGAAGTGGAAAGAGTCTTCGTGCAAATGCTCAGCCTTGATCAAGCAGAGGACATAAAATTGTAAACGCATTAGTTCCTTTCTCATCTGCTGTATGCACCCAACGTTATCTATCTTCTGCAGTATGATTAGGGTTAGAAAATTGGTTTCTTCTGTAAATGTCACCTTTCCAGTTCCACTGATGTAACATCAAGACACTACTGGTGTCATATCCCACAACTGTCAATACAATAAAATGTAACAACATAGTGAATAATGGTTAAAGACAATAAAATACAGTATAAATATAATCTTTAAATAATTTGCACCTTTTTTCTTTGCTTAAGAGGGGCTACATGGTTAGAGGTAGATGCAACAAGTCTGAAGAAGTTTGATTTCCTTTTCCACCACTCATGTCAGAGTGGTGGAGGTTGACCAAACAACACTCTGTATGTCACTATGTTTTATCCCTATGAGTCAGGCTCACAGTTGGCCTTAAAAGAAACCAAAAAACTCCCATTACATTGCTAACTTGAATGATCAGCATATTCATAACACATTGTGAGGATTTTTCTTTTTTAAATTAATTAAGCTGTTATAAACTTATTCATTATTTTAGCTATTTCTTTATCTAGCCACACTGAGATTTGCCATGTTGAAAAAAAGTTGGTCTTCCTGGAGGAAAAGCTACAGTTAGAACTTGTCCCAGCCTCCTTCAGGCAATAAATTTATAGACCAAGACCTCCTTCGTACTTATTGGGCAGAAATCCACTAGTGAGAAGCCTCTTGTGTGGAAGAAGGCAGACAGGACATAGCTGCAGCCACATGGGAGAGTAAGGGGAAATGAAATACAGGAGCTAGAGAACATTCCTTGCTCCTACCTTAATAACCTTGTCTGTCCCCGAGGTCAACAGCCATCCCCTGGTGGCATCAAAGTGTACGTGAACAATGTTGTGCTTACTGTCGTGGAAAGTAGCTGTAGGTGCCCGCCTGAAGAAGGAAATCCAAAAATCAACAAGAACTGTAACTGTAGGATTTTCCCCAAAATTTTTCTCTATTGAGGGAATAACTATCTGTCTGCTTCTGTAAGCCATTAATTCAGCAGCCACTCCATAAACTCTACCTTGAGACCTTTTCTGGCATGAAAGGAACAGGGTAGAGGAGGGTTCCTCTATCCCTCCTGGCTTGATAGTCACCCCAGAGGCTTATCTTGCTGAAAAAGCCCAGGGCTGCTCCCTCCTGGAGCCTCGCATCTGCCCAGGCCCTTCCAGATGCAGATGCAGATGTTTTGCCCCATTCCAGTGCAAGCTGGCTCAGTGTCCACACTTACTCTTCATCTGTTATGGACTCGTGACAGCTGTCGCAGACCCTCACTTCAAACTCAAACCCCATCAGCGGGATGGAGGAGCGCTTGGAGCTGCATTTGCCGCACACGGCTTTTCCACACTTCCGGCAGTGATGCTGTAGGAGACAACATGCAGAAAGACATCTTAAGCCACAAACCCAGATCAGGTCACTGCTCAGGTCCCACTGGTTCTACCATCTCATTCTAGCAAGACCCAGCCAAGGCTGCAGCAAACAGGAAAGCTTCTCAAACTCCAGGAGAACATGGAGTGCTTTTTCACCCCTTTCCCAAAAGTCTCTGTCTGCAGTCCTCTTCTGCTGAGCAGGAAAACAAAGCAGCATGTTTCAAGCAGACCAATAAGCCTTTTCCAGTACAGCCTGAGCAGTTACACACATTTACCCAAACTGTTTGAAAACAGCTTTGGTTCCAGCACAATCTCTGAAAATCAGCCGCAAATTTCTTTCTATAACATATTTCATTAAAATAAGCAAAATCCCATGTGGCTAAAGCCATGGAAGGCCCCAAACCAATCTATTCAGCCCAAGACATGCCTTTGCTATTGGGACTGGTTGGAAAAACAAAAGTGTGTTCCTCACAACCCAAAACCCAGCCTCATCAGTGGGGCGTTCACTGTCCCACTACTAAGCATTGAGTGGAAGAACGAAGTGCAAGTTCTTGAAGCTTTAGGGAGAAAAAGGTTACCACAATCTATTATGAGAGGAAAGCCTAATTGCAATATGTTAACCCATCAAAGGACACATACAAACCTGCCTGAGGCCTATTTTCTTACTGTCCCACATTTGCTTGAAGTTCCAGAAGAAAGGCTGGTCACATTTTTGACAGGAATCACTATCCAGCCACTCAGGGGTCTGCAACACACATGCACATAAACACAAAGTGGAATTGAGCAACAAACAGAAAAAATTCCCATGGAGCCTAAAGGCAGGACAAGAAAGATGTATTGTGATGTGGCAATATGGCCAGCTAAACTTGATTTAAAATCTCCATTTTCACAGGATGCCATTTTGACTGTTCCCTGAGATGTCTTTTTTGGCTTATCTCTGAGCTTTGAAGGACATGGGAGGAACACTTTGCACACAAATCATGAAGAAGAATTTGATAATAAGACCACAGAAATAACCCGGGAACAAATCAGCCTCCCCATATCTCCAGTTCTGAAATTAAGCATGTAAGAATACTTTGTCCTGTCCTATCTGGACAGCATTTACCACCTCCTATTGCCTCTGATGGAAACTGGGGGCAATTAGTATTTCCAATAGCCAAGAAACTCATCTGAAAGGAAAGGGGAGTTTTGGAAATACTGATGTGGTTGGGGTTTTTCATATTCTTTCTTTCTTTAATACTGTAAGAGGTGTTCCTGCTGTCAGAGGTACCTGTGCTACAAATCACACATAGGGGTGAGAAAGATGAGATTAATCTGAACAAGTCGAAGACCCAAACCAGCTCTTTTCTCTACTTTTACAAAAGACAAGGGAAGGCAGGTCTCCTATTTCCTAGCATGGTGTGTAGCTTTGCATTCATGCTGTGGATAACGCAGGTAAGAAGACTTAAAGAAAATAAAGACTATATTAAAGACACTTCTCTCTCCTGCAGCCAGGTTTTGCTGTGCAGAGTAGCATGGATCAGATGCCGTGTAGGGAAGCAAGTCTTGCCAGATCCTGAAAGAGCTCAGGAAATGCCTGAAGTAGCAGGAGAGCACATGGAAGGGTCAGTCATTGTCCTCCACTACATTTGGGTCCTCTGACACTTGTCTTGCACTGAGCTGCTGAGGGGCATGCAGTGCATCTCCCCAGTGTTTAGGAAACCCTCCAGGGGACATGAGACTCGGGAAGAGTCCTGGTTCTTGACCCCTCTCCAGATGGCAGCAGTTTTTCTGTCCTAATCTGACCTAGTGAGAACGACACTTCTTCCCTGACAGACAACTTCTGCTCCTTTTTCTGCCCCAAAAGAGCAAGAGCTCCATCCAAAGCTGGTCCTGGTAAGTTGGTCCATCCCGTGTCTCCAGTGGAGCAGCCCCAGGCAGACCATGACAGCCCTGCCAGTGCTGTGTCTGCAACACTGCAACATGTTCCCACTAGTCCTATCAACACATGAGATTAAATAAACATTGACTAGTGTTTCATACATTGTGAGGAAACAATTAGCAAATTTCAGTTGTCGTATCAGAGCCACTTATTTCTCACATGCTGCAAATTAAAATGGCAAGACACACTGCTGAGATTAGGAACTAATACTCATAGAAAAGCCAGACAGATATAAGTTAAGGGCAGATGGAGACCCTCAGCTCCTGCTTCATATTCTTCTGCCAGTTATTCTGAAGGCAGTTCATTCTGCTGGGGCAAATTTTTGTCTTTTCTACCCACAACAGTCTTTCTGTTTAATGCCTACAGATTTACATCTGTGTGTATAACTTTTCATCTCTTAATAATTTGAATACTATAGAGGAAGAAGACATTTTGCTTGTGACAAGTAACCACTTTGTAGTCAAATAGAAACACAGCTTCTAACATCTTTCAGATGTTGTCTTCCTACAGCTTTTTAAAAATAGAGTTGAAAATGAAGAAATGGCTTAATTCACTCTAATGCAATCTCAAAGGTGTGGGAAAATCTGATACAATAAAGTGAATACTGAGGACACATCACATGGAGAAAACCTTTAAATAAGGGCAAAAATACCAAAGCCAAAATCCAGAAGAAGGTGCTCTAGGACCCCAAACCAAGATTTGGTATTAAAATCTCAAAGATTCATGTTTTGGGAGTGGTTTGGCACCAAGAACACCCTACTGTGCTACTGATAACAAGAACAAGCCCACATAGCCATAGGCTGAGAAAGCAGAGCACCCATTAGCACCTGCTGTTAGGCCTTCATTTAGTCAATTATATTTCTCCTCTATTTTTTAAACCAGCCTTCTCATAGCATTGCTGCATGTTTTGTGACAAGCAAACCCTTACTGTAGCCTTTTGAAGGCAGCAAATAAATAAAGATTTTAATTTCTGGATGTTCGAGTCGCAGTAAAAAGGAAACATCTGTTGGGAAGGAGGAAACCACTCTGCATTCATTTCACTTTAGGGGCTGATGACATACTTGGCCATTGGACTAGCAATTAAAGAGAGCCAAATGGAATGCTAAGTCACATTAAAAAGGGAGCTCAGTTCCTGCCTATGCCTACTTCAGTAGTTTTTTAAAATCAAGTTTTTCACTTAGATTTCCTCCTTCCTCAAGGGAGACCCACAAAATCCAGGGAGGCCAAAACTCTTAAGAACCAGCAAAGATGATGAAAGCTCACCCTGTGAAAAGCCTTGCTCAGACCTATCCACTGCAGGGACTCAGAGTGCCTTTGTACCCTCTGCAGGAAGAGGGCAGAGGTTTGACACATATCACCAGGATTCGCCAGGCTGTTGAGCAGGGCTGGCGCCTGACTCACTCAGCACAGTGCTCCTCCCCCTCTCTGAGTCAAGTCTCAGGAATTGCCAAGTGGAGGCTGCTCCCACAGTGCCAAAGACATGGGCTGCATTTTTGCACCCGCTTACATTTGTTGGCTGTGAAGCACAAAAGCAATTAGAAATGTGTGGGTGAAATCTTAGTCTGGATCAGTGTAGCCATCATTTACCCTGCTTCTACATTGTTACACCAGAGCAAGACCGAGTAGCAGGTGTGACTGAAGCCCTAGTTAAATCTTTTTATCAAAAACAGTGAAAAAATCACACTGCGTTGCAGTTTTCCAGAGATGACAAAGAGCTCTGTTGTTTTGTTTTCTTAAAAACAACACTAATCCATCCATTTACATCTGAACTGATGATATTTCTCAGGATAAACAAAGCTGAGCATGTCACAATATCCTCCTTACAGGATGTCTTTCAGAGCAGTAATGTAAAGAGTAAGAGTCATTTAGTAGTCTTTTTAATACACATTTTCTGCCAGTCAATTTCCCCTGTACCATATTATCAAAGGCATGGCATAATTGCTGTATAACAACTGAGACATATCCAAAAACATTTTTAGAGCTTGGAATGATCTTGGTTATGTTGAAAGTTGCCATTTTAGAAAGGTCCCTTCTTCCCAAGACTGTTTCAGATCAAACTGATGAGAATTAAGCATCTACCTCCTGCCTCTCAACATCCATGTTCCAGACGACGATTCCTCCATCTGCTCCGCAAGAGATGAGCTGCCGAGTGTGGTGAGCATAGGAGAGAGACTGAACTTTATCACTGAAAAGGAAACAAGACAGTTACTAATCAACCATCTATAGCTAGTGCACAAGTAAGCACAGAATATACAATAAAGCAGTACAAACTGCTTTGTTTGCCCTCCCCCATTCACTGTACATGGCATCCATCAGATGCAAATCAGTCTTTGCTGTCCAGCTGGGACCAGAGAGTATGGTTTATCTGGGCAGCATCCACAAAGCAAAGACCTGTTCTGGTTTTGCTGCCCCTGAGATGGGAGGTCCCAGCTACACCGGGAAGCCTCAACAGAGCTGCAGCTCTGGGCCTCTCTGAAGGCACAACTGGATGCATGAAAGCTCCAGTAAGGTACCTTCTTGTCAGAGAGTCCATAACAACTTTGTTTTTGTAAAGCCCTGCATCATGTAGAAATGAAGCACTGAGGAACTACTGAAGATTTTCTTTTAGCACTAACAAGTACAGAGTTTCAAAAATAATATAGGAATCACTAAATTGTTCCTAAGCTTTCTCAGAGTAAGGTAGAAAATTTAGGTGCTTCTGTTTCTTCTTTTAAGGAAAAAAACAACATGGGAAAAATAATTCGCTCAAGCCTCCAAAGATGGGCTCGATCCTTCATAAAAGAAAACCAAGCTTTATCTCAAGCTGTTTACAACCTGGGGAACAAAGACCACATAACACTGTTACAGAAAAAAACACGGTTATGAAGACACAGTAACTGAGAATACCGTGACTGGAAATAATCCACAATATTTGGTTTTCTTTGCTACCACCACTGATCTTGTCTGCCCAAAGGACTTTCATGCTAACACATTTGCTTTTGCACATGGCTGCACCTGCAAAGGGAAATGCACTTATGGAAGAGTTTGGTACAACACAGCCACCTTTCACAGTGCCTGCTTGCTGACACCAGAGGTACCATCAGAATTCTTAGGACTATATGTTGTACAATTCCAGCTGACAGCCATGCCACAGATTAAGATCCAGAGGCTAATTTCATATTAGGAGAACTAATTTCCACAGCAATAAATCTAGCAGCAACGCATTAGCAAGCACCACTGGAAGGGTATGAGAGTGATCTGGGAACTTCAGCAAGAGCTCTGCAGTGCTCTGAAATCCCAGAGGCATGCAAATCACTCAGCAAGTGCAGCATCACTGTATGAACATGTAAGAAACTGTTAGGTCAAAACCACCATGGGATTTTGCCTTTCCAGACCTAAGCCTGGACACAAGTCCCACATATATGCTGTCTCAATACTCTGAAACAAACTTGTTGCATTGCCAGTGTTAAAAGATGGGGAGATCATTGCCACTAGAGCCATTCTGACCTCTAATCAACACCCAGTAGGGGCTTAGTCTTCTTCAAAGACATCTACTATTCTGCACAAATGTACATGCAAAGATGATGCCTCTTGCATTGAGGAGATGTAAAGGCTCCTACAGGTGAAACGCATTAATTAGAATTCAGGCTGTAGGTAAAGTGGCTTGGAAAAAGTTAAGGAGGAGGAAGGAAGTGGAGGAAAAAGGGACTAATTGTTCAAGCCCGATGCTCCCTCTAGGGGAAGGAAAAACCTTGACACCTAAAACTCGAGAATTTCTCTGCAGCTGTTCTCATTTGAGGACATTCCTCATTCCAACAGAGGTGCAGGCTCTGGCATGACACATTTGGGATTATAGATACTGTGCTTTCCTTCACCACCCTCTGCAGACTCTCAAATCAGCCTGTGGGCTCAACACTGAGAAACTTACTATAAGCAAATTATTCCTGATGTACATGAACCATAGGGAGTCATACATACAAGTTTGAAGTTGTGAAGACTGTAAGCTTTGGGCTGTTTGTTTCCAGATGTGGGTTCTGCCTTTAGCTTTTCTGCCATAAAAGCAGGAGGGAGGGCTTTGAACGTACTTATGTCCTTGCAGCTCGATGGCTGTTCCTTTTCTTCCTCCAATATCCCACATTATAATGGAATGATCAGAACTGCCTGAGAATAAAACTCGCTGTATTGGGTCCCAACAGAGAGCAGTGACACCACCTGCAATAAGAGCGCACACAACAGTCATTTTGTTACAGAAAGCGGAAGACCAGAATGTAACTAAATAAAAATGACAGAGAGAGTGATTAAAATGCAGGCCTCTCCAGCAAAGGCCATGCAGCCATGTGCCATGTGCCAGCAGAAAACTAACAGGCTAGAAAACCTACTGAGATTCCTGAGAGCAGCCTAGCTGCTCTTCTGTGGGCAGAGGGCTCCACTGCCACTTGCACTGAACAGTAAAATGTAGTAGAAGGATGGTCACAGTGTGACTATACAGCTTTTCATCTCCACGATTTCTAAGAGATTAAAAGATAAATAAGTGTGGAATATTATGGGCATCTTCTCACTATCCTAGCACAAGGATTGTGCTACCTTGTGATTGACTAGACAGGAGGGATATGGAGAGAAAATGCTGATGGATGACCACCATTTCTTCTGTTGGATGGCAGGATCCTATCCAGGATTGCTCTTTTTTAAAGGGTGATGGGGCTCAAGTTCCAGCAGTGAAATAAGCAATTAGTGCATCCAAGATGTGCCTATTCCCTTTGGGAAAAAGTGTCTACCAGCGTGGGTCTCTCCTTTATGAGCACCCACTCTTCTCCAAAAACTACCACAACTTGTTCTAGTCTTACTCTGCTTTAATTGGTAGCTACTGATTATGGCATTTCCTGCCATACATGTTTTCTGCTCAGAGTTCTGATGACTCTTGTTTTTACCAATACAGCTTCCCTGAACTGCTGTGACAGTTTAAGGTCTATGTTCCTTTTATGCTATGCACTGACACAAGCCATCCTGGTGTTTCACAGGAGAGTTAAACCACCATAATGCTGAACACAGATGAAGAACCAGGCTGGGTCTCCGCCTGAGGCCTTACCTGTGTGTCCCTTAAATGTTGTAACAAGGCTGCAGGACTCTTGCTCTAGTTTGAGTATGGTCACTTGCCCAGAGTGATCACCAACAAACACATGCCGGGTTTCCACATCAAATCTGATGGATAAATGCTGAGGAAAATATATTGTTTACACAAGCTATGCATTCCTTTCATGACTTGCTAATTCTTTTAACACGAGCATACTGCAACCTTGTGAATAGTGCTCCAGTCTCAAGGAGGTATTCAGAGTGTACTTTTAGGCACCTGTTCATACTAATAGTGCAGTATCCCTGAGTAAACCAAAGAGAAAAAATTAGACTATTCTAGAAGACACAATTTGTGTTTTTGTTATGAAACACCTTTGAAGCAGCCCTTCTCCATGAACATAGGAGTTGTCTCCCTGGGCTCTGTAACTTAGGTATTAGAGTTGAATGGTATCTACTCTCTCCTTCTCAAACTTCTTCAAAATAACTATTACTAGTTTTCTGTTTGTATTGGATTTGCATGTCAAAGTTTTGGTAGTGGGGGGTATACGGTGTGGCTTCTGTGAGAAGGTTTGCTGGCAGGACTTGTGACCCCGTGGGAACCCACATTTGAGCAGTCTGTTCCCAAAGGGCTGCACCCCATGGAAGGAACCCATGCTGGAGCTGGGGAAGAGTGTGAGGAGTCCTCCCTTTGAGGAAGAAGGATCAGCAAAGACAACATGCAATGGACCAACTGTAACCCCCCAGGAGGCAGAACAAATCAGGACTGAAGTGGAGCCCAGGCAGGAAGAAAGAAGGAGTGGGGGGAAGGTGTTTTTAAGATTTGGTTTTATTTCTCATAACCCTACTCTGATTTGATTGGTAATAAATTAATTTCCCCAAGTTGAGTCTGTTTTGTCTGTGACAGTAACTAGTGAGTGATCTCTCCTTGTCCTTATCTTGGCCTTTCTTTATGTTTTCTCTCCCTCACCCAGTTGAGGAGGGGGGTGACACAGTGGCTTTGGTGGGCACCTGGCACCCAGTCAGGGTCAACCCACCACAATGCTTCCTCATTATAGTCAAGTTCATGAATATAGTGAAAAAGTATTGTTTCATGTCATATTTGAGGAAGTGTCGACTACATCAGACACCTCACACATCATATTCTAAACTGAATAAAATCTGGACCACTTAACCACCACCTACTGGAACCACCTAACTGGACAGATTCTGACCTCTTCATCCAATTAATTCCGCATTCAGAGTCCATACCAGATATTTAAGGAGTAACTGCTTTTAGCACTCTATAAGAGCAGTGCTATTTAAGAAACACTGATTTTAAGCACACAGGACATAGGAGAAAAAAAAGAAAAACCAAACATGTTCCTGGTTGTGCCAAATATTTTTGCAGTACTTGCCAATGATTCTTCCTTCCACTGCCCTCCACCACCACGAGCAAATGACTCAAAGTGTCCTCCAAAAGTTCACTCAAAATGGTCTGTTCTCTAGAGAGATTTAGAGAATACAGGACAAATTCTTGCATCATGCTTTCAAAAACATTTATAATTTAATTTAAAATTAAGTCCAGTCTCTATGCCATTTATATTGGCTGAATGACCAGATAATATAAAGCAAGTCCATATTGGAACAGTAATTTTGAGTAGGTCTCAATTCTCCTGAACTAGCAAAACACACATCTATACCATGTACACTCTGGGGCATTAAAAAGTCTGTTTATGCTAACCCATGTTTTCAGCCTAAGAGCTCACACTTTTCCACTTTCCTTTTCATTTGCAATAAAGCTGAATTAATATTTCTTTTATCGTTGGGCGGCTGGGGCAGCTCTGCGTGAATAAGCCACTCGAGTGCCATTTCTGGAGTCATTTACTCTTCGGTTAACCCAAATTCCCAATACATAGTGAGCAGTTCCAGAGTGAAGGACAAGTGCTCATTATTTTATATTAAAGTAATTTAATTTTTACCATGCATGCACACAGGCACTCTGACCTGATCACCAACCTACTTTGCTACCATTAATTCTCTGAAGAAAGCAGGCACTGCATGTTTAAATGAAGGTCCTATCCATATTTATTACAATAGCAGACCACAATAGGTTGCAGATCGCTCATTGTGGTGGTTAAAAATGCTTAGACCTAAATATGCCATAATGCATTAAGGAGACAAAGCAAGGAGAATAGGCAGTTTTTTAAATTGGCTTCAAGTAACAGTTTCTCTCACAAAACACTGAATCTATACAGGGCACAAAATTTGGAGGACAGCTAGACAAATAAACTAAAAGGGCTGTTTGAGTGCCAAAGAGCAGAAATAAAACTGAGAGCTCAGCAAAGGATACTGCAGGCCACAGGCACCTGCGCTGGTGCGGTACCCTCCCAGCCGCTGGCCACTTTCCGAACAGTGCCACGTGAAGTGTTTATCTTGTCCAGTGCTTAACACCCACTCCATTTCCAGGACAAAGAGAATCATGATGACCCTGCTTTGATGAGCTGAAAATTAAGCAGACAGACACATGATCACATTGCAGAGAAGAACACAGGGGTAGAATAACACTGCAAATACCAACTGCACCCAACTCCTCCACTCGCCCTTCCCTACAGAAGCAGCTGGTGTTTAATAATCCAGTTGACATCAGCTAGCATGCAAGGTTGTAAGGTCCCTGCTCTGCATGTTCAGCGTTTGCATGAGAAAGAGTGGAAGCAAGACTTCCATGCCTATTGCAGCCATTTGTCTTCCACAGTAGCACAAGTCTTCCCTCCATGATTGCATCATCACTAACAAAACTGCCATTGTGGAATGGACTTGGGGCTTCGTTTAAACCTCTTTTGAGCTGGTTTTATGACAGCAGTACAGATGCCTACCCTGCCACTCCTCCTGCTGTGAAGTCTGGTGGACCTGGGTTGTGGTACCCCAGCAGAATGATGAGTGACAGGCACCAAAGGAAAGTTTCAGCATTGCATGTAAACCAGATAGAAAATTATTGGAATAAAATAAAAGAAAAAGAAAAATATCACAGCTGTGTTAGATGAATAAAACAGCTGAAGGAATAAATCTCTACTGCTACCAAAATAAAGCCATCAAAAGCTTTTCATTAAAACAAGGGAATGCATGCTTGTACAGACAGTTTTTTGTATGAATGACCAGTGGGCTTGGTCACAAAGTGCTGATTGAGCTGACTTTTTAATAAGACAAGTGGCTGGAAAGACTTGCAGAACTATTCCCAGCTGTAACTTAGCAGTGAACGCCATACTCCTCAATCTACAGCCCTGCTGATTTATTACTGTTCTGAGACCCGCCAACATGTACTGCACAAAACAGGGTGGTTGTATTGCTTGTATTTGTTTGTGCAAAAGCTGACACACCAAAAAAAAAAATAAAAAATTAAATATGTTTGGAAGCTTAAACACCAGCCCCAAGCCTCCACTTGAAATGCAGAGAAATTCTTCAGAACAGTATTGGAATATTGCTGTCTGCCCTGCACAAATATACAGCACAAATGAGAGCTGCGTTCAAATCCTATAAGGGGAATGGAATCAGCTGTAGCAAGGAAGTGGTGGCTTACACAAGCCAACACCTGCCCTGATCCACACTGCTTTTTCAGATGGAGATTCCCTAAGGAGAAAAGTCAAAAGATGCATTGACACAAGTTGCCACAACTGTGATTGGCAGCTAGACCAGTTTGCAGTGTTAGACATGAACTTGTGCCCAGGTGCTTTCACCCTTGCCCATAGAAGAGGTCAGATTTTGGCTGTCATTTCCATACACTTTTACATTCCAGATAGAAGGATGGGGACCACCAAGGAGTCACTTGAGCTCTTTCAAATAGATCCTATCTCCTCTCGGCCCTTGTTTTCTTTGGGGGGAAATTCAGTGACCCCATAGGTGGTTCATGCTTGTCTTTACCTTTCTGCTGGTCTCTCCAGAAACATCCACACTAGCTGGTGGAGTGGTGCACTGAGAGAGGGTCATGATGATCTGCATGCTGCTACAAGCTCATGGGCTTGTAAACATGTCCCAGGAGCTTGTGTGCACCAGCAAGGTCATAGACAAGGCCATGCACTTTCACAGGATGTCCAAAGCTGGCCGAGATCAGACTGTTCAAGGCCTGTCCAGAAATGTTACTGCTAGTGACAGCTTCCCGTGGTTTGAATTGGTTGTAAGGATAGCTGGCACCACCCAACTCTCTTAAAATTCCTATCTCCTAAAACTTCTAAAAGGCAGGGCTTGTAACTTTTGCTAGAAGTGCTGCCTGTGGATGCTGAGGCAGGCTCTTTCTGGCAAGTAAGGAGTAGACACTGAAGAACTTTACTTGCCAAGAGGTGGAAGGGGTGTACACAATAGCTTTGCTTATCCTCTCTCCTCAAAAGGAGCTTTCAATTCAGCACTCTGTTGTACGCTTGCACATATTAGCTGGTGCCAACACACATGCAGATGGCAGAAATATCTGAACCAAGTGAAAGAGCATGATGGAGATCATCTCAGTAACAGAGGACAGAGAAGACAAATATAAATCAAAGTCAAGGCTAAAAAAAAAAGTTAAGGCTAAATGAACTAAAATGTCAGAAGGTTGGAAGCTGACACCAGAGCAAGGAAGAAGTCTGGGCCCTAGGATTAATGTAGGTACAGGGTCTATTGATAAAACCAGCATTCACATTAGTTAAAAAAAAAAATCACTGTTAAGAAGACTTATTTCCATTCACACTCGTTAAGAGAATATTAACAAAAATTAATGACAATACAAACCAATTAACACGGTTCTTACCCTGGTAACTTTTCACTAGTGTCATCTTGTTGTAATCTTCAGATAAAATAAATTCCTGAAGGAGTGGAAAGAAAAAACCAAAAGAAACAGTGCTTAGAGATGTAAAATGTTTGAGACTGTTTTCATTTTAATTCTTTACCTAGGTAAGCTCTCCCTTCTTCACAACCACCGCCCTGTTTATACTTTTGCTAATTTTGAGTACCTCCATCTAAAAATCTACATTATTTTTCTTTTTAGAGCTGCCTAAGAAAAAACATCATGAGTTCTGCTGAGCAGAATGGTGGAGATAAAAGAAATGGTATTAAAAAGAAGTCAAAAATGCTGACAGAGATGACTGCTTATGAGCCGAGGTGCCACAAAATGAAGGACATGAGATCTGGCAAACAGTTATTGCTCAGGACAGCCTGGGCAGAAATCTATGTGTGTGCACAGCTGCGTGTGCACACATGTGCATTTGTGTATACACATGTATCCATGTTTGTGCATACACTACATTCCACCCTGAACACTCAGGAAACGCTATATTAATATACAAGAGACTCTTGAAGTTGCTCAGTCCAGACTAGGTACCAATAAACCATTATGGGAATGGAACACATTTCAGGTTTCTGTCGGTGCTTCAGACAAATAGAACCCAGACTTTTTCCCACCTTGATTTCATTACACTGTTAGTTAATATTTATTCTGACACCTCAGAAGCAGACTATTCTCTTTGCTACTGCTTTGTTGAAGCTAACAAGCAGCTGTGTGTGGGGTGGAGTGGCTTAGGACAGGCTATGACTGCCTGGGGAGAAAGGAATGGTGTGAGTCCAGCCAGGCTCGTCCCTGTGGCCAGGGAATAGCACACTTAGGGGATGGGCTCTTCGGTCCTGCTGCCTTGGTGCTGCTATTTAATTGCTGATATGGCTTTTGCACAGGGAAATGATGAAAACAGCAGCTAAGAGTTTGCACGGTGGCCTCAGCTCCTGAATAAACCCCACGTGGTTAAACTGACTGAGCACCTGGGTTGAGACACCCAGCGCGCTGAAATTAAACTTCTTTGTTTCATGTTATTTGGCCATCTTTGAAAGTTTAATTAGAGATATTTCTCACAATGCATAGATCACATACTCAGAAAAACACAAAGAAAAAAAGGAGTGTAAAAAGACATCATATTAATAATTTATAGCAAACTACACAGAAACTCCCTAAGCTAATCTACCTAGAGGACAGAAGTAAAACTTAACTCATTTAACCTGAAATAGGGTGAAAAATTAAATAAACATTACAAACACAAGATAAGCTACATTTAAAAACATACAGTTGTGAAATGTTTATGTGCACATGCCAAAAGCACTGTGCAACAGTAGAGAAGACTCAGGACCCTATAGACTACACTGAAGGTAAACCAAATGTTTAATGCAAAAAAGCATAAGCCATTCAAACCACCAAGAAGCCAGTATTTACCCTCAGTTTGCAAACCAGAATTAAAAAAAAAGGTCGCTGTATTTTCTGTGGGGTCACTGCAGGTAATCTGCACAGCTTTCGAGAACCACCCTAATACATCACTTCTACTGCTTAGCATCAAGGTGGAGAGGTTATAATACTCATCTGTGGAACATCTACAGATCCCAGATCTAGGAAAACAGCTGTGAGTGATTTGAGGTAGCTATGTATTCTGCTCTCTCTAGGTTTCTGTTCAAAAAATTGTCATAAATATATTCCCTTGAATTGCTTCACTTCCTTTCCTTAATCTGCTCCATCTCCCATTAACTTTCCCCTGGCAGTTGAAGACTACAGTGGGGAGTGTTATTTAAACAGCAGTAACAAATCAATTAAGTCAGCTGGATTTCTATACAGGGTCACCTTAACTCTACAAACCACATAAAGTCAAAAATCTGCTACACTTCTCCAGCTACCTACTGGGGAAAGTGTTTATAAACTACTATCTGAAGAATACTAACCCACACACAAAGTGCTTTGCTACAAAGCCTATACGAAGCAGGACCCTTTGCTACTAATGTTAACTTTGTGCTATTGTTACCTAAAGAGAAATGTCTTTAATTGCTGCAACACATGGTGGGAGAATATATCTGCCTTTCCCACCAATGTGGATATCCCTGACTTTGACTGTGGTGGCACACAGATGCTGTGACTTAAGGTGGGATGTAGAGCATGGTTTGCATTCTCACTTTTCTTTGCATTTTTTCCCTTAATAAATTTGGTGTGGCCATTTTATTCTGTGATCCAAACAGTCCCACAGTTTCAGTAGAAGACCGAAAAGGCTTTTGAATCTCTCCATTATAATACAGTGAATCCAACACAAGTGCAGTTCGTAAGGTTTATCCAAGTATTGCTTAGCACTGTATGCTTTTATACAAACCACAGCTATGTACTACTAGTACACTGCTGCATCCAAAATATAAACAAATGCAATACAAGATATACACAGTTTCAATTAACCTGAATATTGGATATAATTTCTTCTAATCTTTCTGTAGGTCTTTTACACCCTGCTCCCCTGTACACTCTCATGTGTTCTTCCACTGATTGCCCTCTCCCTCTCGAGGCCAAGTATTAATTGCGTCACTAGACACTCATTTTAGCACAGGGCACCTTGCTCAAGAAATTCATGCCCTGTTGCACATACATTATATCATCTGCACTACAAAAACACTGATTACATCTCTTTAACATTGTACCAGCAGAAATTGGTTTTTTTATCATTGCGTACGTAGGTGTTTTGCTCCTCTCAGAGCTGCTGACGCTCACTTCTCATTAGGCAGGTTTCTGGCTCTTCTTAATGAGCCACAGAAGCTAGGGTCACCCACATAGCTCAGTCGGTGCTTGTCAGCAGAATAGAGAAAGATTTCTGAGGCCCCTTTTGTACAGGAGGGGCTGGGATATATCAGAGCACTCAGGATGGTAAAACCAAACCCCTTCATTGCAGGGATTAAAAATAACTTTTCTGACAAGATCACTTTTTGCCCTTCAGAGGTGGTTGTGGAGCTTTATACTTTAATACCTTTTTTACCATACTTTAAATGTTAGTGCTCAGTCTTGTCTGTTTCAGGTAAACTTATTATTACAACAGTGAGTTAGTACCGTGAAAGCCTTCACAAAGCAGTCTCAAAAACACTGTCAAAATCTAGTTGTCCACTGATATAAAAGACTCTCAAATATTGCTTCGTGTAGCACACCTCCCTCACACTAAAACATACTCCCCCCCCAAACTTCCCTTGACCATAAGACCTCTGTAAATCCTCACCCTGGAAATAGTATCAGCATCTAGTTTCAAATTATTCAGAATCCTTGACCATGGGATCTAAGGAAGACATACCTTTCCAGAGCTTCAGGTGGATGCCAACTGATGTATCCCAAAACAGAGAACTCTGCTTACGCAACTGAATCCATTTCTGAGAGTTATGTGAGAGGACAGAAAACATCATGTTGTTTTCTTGGGGGAAAAATACTAAACTTCCCACAATGGCAGAGGGGAAGGGTGTAGATCAGCAGGTAGAGCCCAGCTCAGTCCCAGGTATTCAAAGTGCTGTTTATGGCCTAACCTGTGGACAGCTACAAGATCAGGTGGGGTGGAAGATGAATTTTTCTTACTAACTGTCATACCCAAGGAAGAATTCTGAAGAGGTTATTCTGGTGCCTTGTTGTCCCTGTGGCTCTGATCAAAGTAACAGTTTTGTATAGACACAAGCACAGTCAGCAAAAAAGACCAATTTAATTCAGCTTCAGCTACCTAAAAACTAAATCCTCATTTCAATCTCCCCAGAAATGAGAAGAAAAAATTATGCCATTTTATAATACTTTCTAGGGCAAGCAACATGGGTGTATCCAAAGACAATTCACCTTTCCTCCAGTGGCTGCAGAACCTAATGATTAACTTTATCTAGGAAATTAGCTTTCAGATGGATGAAATGATGTGAGGAGTCGCATCTTGGCAGTGGAAGTCTCCTGTCTCTTGCAAGTAAAAGACCTTTCCTGTGTTTCTTCTTGTTGTGGTATCTTGAGAGTCCTACATCCATTAGAGCATGTTTTCCTCCACTTCAAAGCAGGAAATTGATGTTCATGATAAAATCTTTTAACTTCCAAAAGTATTCCCTATGATGTAATTTCTTCTCAAAAAAAGGTTTGCAAAGTGTAAAAAAAAAATCACAGAAACTTTTTTTTTTTACATTAGGTTCCACCAATCTTTAAGTAAGAAGACAATCTTTCATGCAAGAGAATGGTGTGTTGTGCCGCAAAAATGTCTGTGCAGCCTTCATGTCGAGAAGTTACAAAAGATTAAAAACAATCTCTGTAGAAGCAAAAACTGTCGCCCTGTTTCATAAAGAAAGGTGGCCATACAAGCTGACCTCATGGTGGCTTTGCTGGAACTTCTTTCTGTGACAATAGCATTGCTGGCTGTCCTTCTCAAAATGCACTATATGCATTTCTGAGGTGCCAGGCTTATAACCAAAATCCATACAGTTTACAAAAATTTCACAGAATAAAAAAGGCAGTTCCACCTTCTTATCTCTATTCACATCTGAAAGTACTTCCTTGGACTTCAAAAAAAATTCATTTGAGATTACGTGGCACTCTAATGAGTGCCACAGCCCTTACCAGGAATCCTTTCTTCCTACCCAAAGTGAAGATGCAGAATTATTTTCAGTTTTTTTTTTTTTTTGGCCCTGCACCCAGCATACACAAGAGTGCTGGGCATTACAGAAGTGCTAACATGGAGCAGCTGACTAATTCCCAAATATTTCAAGCTGCTCAAGTAAATTGCCTGTACTTTCCCTTTGGGGGCCACAGAATTAAAATCAAGGATACTAAGGTCACCTTGTTGCAGTGAGTTCTTTTATTTTGTGACCAATGTGCCCTGATGGTATATTCCTGGACTAAACTAATCATCATAGCTGTGTCCAGGAAAGAAAACTTATCCTTTCCTCCAGAGGGTGGTTGTAACCCATTTCCAAGTACCTGAGGATTTTCTCTACACCCTGAGACTTGAAAATGAGGCTCCACTTGCTCCTCTTCCATTCTCAGCTCCACCACTTCTTGTAGCACATTACAGTTGTGGTTTCTCTTACAAGCCTTAGGTTTGCTACAGAGGGAAACACTTCATTGCTTGTGGAAGTTTGAGGAGTGCATTTTCTGCACAATCCCCGACCACACAACTGCCTGCAGCTACAGGGGACTAAATCAAGCGACACAGACAAGCCCTTCCCCCTTCCTAGGTACTTGTATCCAGAGAACTGGGAAAAGAAAAGCCCAGCTTAGCAACAAATAGAATCTGCTTTAGACACAGCAATATATACCTGTAAATACCCGAAGTCACATGTTGGTTTATCACCTGCATATCTCATTTACCTTCTTTAGCTTTGGAATGGAAAATATTTGATCCCATTCAGACTGAAGGATCCTGTGATTCTTCAAGGCAAAATGCCCCCAAGACAAAGGACACATCTCCCATCATGCCAGAGTATTTAAATACCTTATTTACAGTTGCCTTCAGATTCCTCAAAGGCCTGGTGAAAACAAAAGTAGGACTGGCAAATTACAGCTATTTCAGGGAGTGGGAAGAAGAGAATTTCAGAGGTGCAGGGAATTCTCTGGCAGCTGTTCCATCTCTTAGATACAAAAGAAGAAATTTCCCACAGGCACACAAGAAACCCTCTGCTACTAGCCATTAATAGCTTTATAGGTCAAACCCTTTACTTCTTTGATAGAGCTTACAGGCAACAGCTAAAAGGGTCACACATCCATTCCCAAATGCTGTACTGGCTTTAGTGCAGACAGCTGCCCTTATGTCAACCTGAAAACACTCATTCAGTTAAAAAGCCCATAAGGCAGAGACAACAGCAGTAAAAAATTGAAATGATGGTAAAATGACCTTAAACTGGAAGAGGAATCTATTGACGAAGCATAGGTGAAAAACACCTGACCCATAACTCTTTCACAAAGTGATACAGCTTTTTACTCATTATCCCACAGGAAAAATCCAATTAATAAGGTCAAGTGCTACCCTCTGTCACAGACCTAACAGACACATTCTTCTTTTAATACTCTGCTTCTTTCCACACATATATATCTCAGATGTTAATGAACCAAATCTCTCAGCAACAGCACTACCAGTTAGGAGCAACTCCTCCCAAGGGACAGGAAAACAAAATCTTAACTCTGAAGTTTGGAAAAGCAGTTAGATATGGAGCAGAAATTAATCTTCTGCCTTTCAGAAGATGATTTTTCCCCCTCTTAATTGCTGCTTTCAGAAAACTTTGGTATGGTGTGATTAACAAGGCACTTAAATTTAATAAAATAACAGCTGTTTTCTGTTATTTTTAAAGAGATATGTAAATTAGAACAATTCGTTGAGTTGCCTAATAAATATTGTAAAGCCTACTCAATATCCTTGTGGCAGTAGGAATAAAATTTTTAATAATTGCCAGTTTCTACATTACAGATTCAGTTCTACTAGCAGTAAAAAGTCTGTTTCCCAAACACTAGCAAAAATATCCTCATCACAACATCACACACATACTTCTCAAAAGGGAAGCATTTCAACTAGAAATCTTTGGATGTACTTACTGAGATTGTACCATTGTCTAGACCTATGGACAGCCTTCTGGTTTCCGGGTTAAAAGACATGCATGAACATGGAGCTGAAAAAAATGAACATGTTGATGAAGTTAACAAAACTGTGATTCTCATTTTCTTGAAGTTCTGGAAAGCCTTAAACTAGCTAACATGCTTTATGATGCTGTTCAGCATTTTGCCCCTTCCAATAGACAAGCATTAAAATAAATGTGTTCTTGCAATTCATTCAACCCTATCCTATTAGGACACAGAACAATAGCTATTTCTTGCTCCAGTTTCTTTATTTTTCCTTACTAGTTATGTAAAACCAGGTATTTCATACAAGACCAGTGGTGGTGTTTTGATACGAGCACCTGACATTGCAAGATAAATCTGAGAAATTAATTAGCTGAATAATTTAGTTTTTACATTTGCCTGAACTTTACTGACAATAAAACAAAACACTGTAAGAGGCCTGCATCCTACACCTGCAGTAAGAAAGTTCTCCTGTAGGAGTCAACATATCACCTGATACTAAGGACTAAGTCCAAATGTCCCCTAGTGCAGTTGCATCACAGACAGCACTATGACAGTATCACATACTGTGGCCAAAATAAAAGTTTGTTTCTTAAACTACCCATTGCCGGATTACATTGATGTTACTCAAATAAACACCAGAATATACTCCTAAATTGCACACAAGTCAATCACAGTATGCTCCTTCAAGGATTGGCAGGGTTTGCACCAAGATTAAAACCAGAATTTTCTTGCAAGAATTCAAGAGCTATGATTGGTTTAAAGTTGCATTCAGAAAGCAGGAATTGCTTTTACTGCTCAACACAGCAGCATGAAGCTAGGAGTCCTCCTGTCCCAACAGAAACCTTTGGGAATTATTTTTCAGGAGCTATTGCCAACTGCAGGTAGGAGTTGGCATTGCTCCTTTGGTAATGGTAAGAGTGTTTTTAAAACCATATTTTTGTGATAAAGTACAATGAGATGCACTTTTAGTTCTGCTTTTCCCCCTCTCTTGGTTTCTACTCTCCCTTGAGATTACTTGTGTGTTTTTGTTACTAACAAGCTTGGAGTCCTTTCTTTTGAAGTCTTGTAATCTGGTAGATTCTCAATTTGTGTGATGTCACACTTGGGACTAAACAGTCCATATCTTAGCAAATCTTCCTTGATAGTTTAGTTGGCAGCAAAGCTATATGAAGAACAGGAGAGTCAATGTCGACTGTTTAATAAAACTTTTTCTGCCTTCAATATTGAATCCCCCTTGAAACATTTCCTGAAGGACAACTAACCGTAAGCATAAAGCCTACCAGATCCACATCCAGGCAGGCACTTTGGCTTATATCTTTCCTGGAAGGGTTGACAATTAAATCAAAGAAAAGGCTTCAGTTCAAGGAAACTGACATAAAGAAAACAGGAAAATTAAATCAGGCCTAGTGACAGTGACAAAATTTCTCCTTCCTGTACCTCTCCCTCAGGAAAGGCAAACTTTAATCATCCCTTCAGATGGTGATGCACTACTATTAAATTGAGGCTTCTAGGGTTGTAGCAGAACAAGACAGTTGTAGAAAAAATGAACAGGAAAAAAAGCAATTCTAAGCAGAATAAACATCAAGTAATTTTAAAGGACTTAAATCCAGAACAGACATATTCTACATATCAGCTTTTAATGCTTGACACTGTGCATACATTGAAAGAGATACTAGTAAGTCTGAAGGCAACTAATAGCTCACAGAGAAAAAGTCTCAGGTAAATTACCTATTTGAAGTGCACTTTTCCAAACACTTCAGATGCAAAAGGTTCAAGCAATTGCTTGACACAAATTGATTACAAAAGAAGTAACTTCTTAATTCCAGACCTGTGTGTATACTACTACAGTCATAGTAGCATAAAGATACTTATTTTGCTATAATCATTTTCATAAAGGAATTCTTCAGTAACATGTACTCTTACAAAAATCATTATGTCATCACTAAAATTATGTCCACGCTAGCTGCACTAATGTTGTCAAAGTGATGCCAATTGTAACAAAACTGAAGCAGCTTATATATTAGCAAAAATAAGATGACATTCAGATACTTAAGTACTTAGGCTCATTAAAAAGAGGGAAAGAAAAGAAGAAAAAAAGAAGAAAAAAAAGAAAACAAAACAAAAATTTGAAACCTTAAGCTTCTGAGATATTTAAGATCCTTTTAAAATAATATCCAGGAAAAATAACAGCACTCGGAAGGCTCTACTTGAATACCTAGCTATGATTTGGATTTCAAACTGAGAAAAGGTTGATCTGAACTATTATAGAGGACAAACAGGATATTTCTGATGCAGAACTCTGGCTGTAGTCTTATCTTAAATTTAGGGCAAATACACACTGATTTTTGCCCTCAAAAGGTGAATTTTGGAGGAAAAACCCTATTACATACTTCACGTGCTCAACAGTGTGACCTCTATTAGAGGTTGACAGAAGTAAAAGAGAAATACAAAATTTGTAGCAGTTTCAGGGTCTTTAGGCAACTTTCAAGTGCCTGTAGATGACACAGTTTAAGACCAAAGGAGTATGTTTTGCCTTGCAGTTTTTTTAGCCTCCTGTTTAAAGCAAAGTGTTAGCTATGAAAATTATCATAAGACAGGCAGTGTATTATCTGCCTCAAAGACTTGACACTCCATTGTTCCTCACTACAATATATCCTTTACTCCATTCCACATCTGCAAGGGGTTTTTTTGGTTCTTTTTGGGTGTTTTAGAGTTTTTTTTATTGGCAAACTTTACTTGACTCTTGACTACAATTCCTTTGCCTTTCATGAATTTGTGTCTGCAAAGTTGTTTTTTTTCCTCCTGTACAGACACTGTTCAAGTCACAAATCTAACCATGAGTAACCAAGAGAACACATCTATCCATGAGGAGGGTTAACATGCTGTTGTTAATGAGCTGTTGAGACAACAGTGGTGTGAAAGAGGTGTGTCAGTGAGGTTTCCAGCTTACCTAGGTTACCATACTAACAATATAACTGTGAATGACACCCAGAGCTCTCTTCTTTCTCATGGGCTAGAGATGATCAAAAATGTGGCCACTGTGCTGTACAGAATTTTCTGACTACAGAAGCACTCATAAAAAGGGCATAAAACTTTGCAATTGGGGAAATCCCACCTCTAAAGAGCAGCAAGCGTCCCTACTCAGAAGAGATCTATAATCTTGATATTTTTTTTCCAGATATTTAATGGTTTTCACATTCAGAAAACAATGATGACCTTATTTGGGTCCAGAACCAAAGCACATAGCTGACTCAGCCCAACTCCTCATCCTCCTCATGTCCCAGAGGATCTAGGGCACAGACTCAGTTATTAAGGCTACTTGATATCAAAACATAAAATAGTTTAGGTCACACACCACCATAGTCAAATCACAAGTTATATTGATGGGGTATCTATAAGGTAGGACTGCCAGTCACATCTTGCTAAGCAGCACAAAGGCACTAATGTCTCTCCTACAATTTTACACAAAGAACCTCTGAGCAGTCATTCTTTAAACAACAAAATCCAGTATGGACTTAAAGCAGAGCACCCTCAAAAAGGTGATTCACACAGAAACAGACAAAATGATCATTTGCAGTCAAGTGCAGACTCATGGAGATGCTGACTCAGAGCTTTTCCTATGATTTCCTAGCTTAAAGGCATGGCTGATAATGTAATTGGCATTGCTCCAGTCATTAATTATACCTGATCATTCTTGAAATCGGCGAATAACACAGCATAATTTCAACATCTTGTGCCTCAAAAGCTTACCAGCCTTCGAAATGAAGGAGCTCTAAAATAGTCCCCCTTCAGTGGATCTGGATCTACTCCATCATTTCCACTGACGTTGTTATTACTGGCAATAACATAGCTTTGCTAAGACCAGAAGAGAACCTAAAGAGATTTTAAAATGCAAATGTATGAAAAAACACCACATGGAAAAACAGAAGTATCAATGCCAAACTGCTAGAATAGCCATTTCATAACAGTTTAACTGGGGAAAGCAAACCTCTCAGGACAGGTCAAGGGAACTCAGGTCACTGTCAGTGATCACGACGGAGCTCCACAGACTGCCACATCATTAGCTAGTTTCCAATACCTTCTTGTGCAAACTTGAGCAGAAAGTACCTTTGAGGATTGACATATTCTTATGAGTTAGTCCATTACCAAAGGAAGATGAGAGATCTTCCTGTTTTCTTAAAGCAGGCAAACACCATGGCTGCTCTAAGGTCCCAAGCTGATGTTGTTGTAGTACTGAAACTTATATCTATTAAATATTTTACGTATCACAGAGACAGATGTCTCTTCCAAATCTACCTATCTTAGCTTAAAATAAGTCTTTCTCCAGACAGTAAGAATACCTCAATGAGACTTGATATGTGCTCCCCAATCTGGATTTAAGGTCAGCTTTGCAAGCTTTCCAAAGACAGGCTAACCCAGCACATCTGAAGCTGATTGAGGAGCATTAGCACATGCCTGCCTCTGGTGACCTGTAAAGTTATATTCCTGCAATCAACACAGGGTTTAAGGCAAACAGTGAGGGCTGTGATTTCTTCAACTGTCTCTTGGAAAAGTGGACATTGATTTGCAGTTTCTCTTAAAGCATGTACACTCTCTCTGAGAGAGGAGGCATACAGCACACAATAATGGAAGGATCCATTAGGGACACTTGGTTTTCCACATTTAATTGCAGAGGTAAAACGATTCTGCTTCTACACTGGAAGAGTTGCCTTCCCTGTCTAGTATCCTCTCTATCATATTAGCTGCAACAGGATATTAAGTTCTTACCAAATAAAACCATTTACCATTGCACTCTAATGGACTGAGTACATGCAGTAGGAAGGGCAGAGTGATTTATACTGGAGACTTACAAAGCTTTGTGGACTCCATTGGGGCAGAATGAGAGACTACATTTTGAGCTCCCACATTTTAAAATCTATATTTGCATTAAATGCTCACCCCTTGCTAATATGTCTGTGTCCTTTTGCTGCTGTAACCTCTGATGCCCCTCAGAAGCATTAGTGTGTAACTTGATAAAGCTTCACTGAAACCACGAGAATTGTTCAACAATAACATTTAATACAGAGAGGTAAGCTTGCAAATGGTCATAAGCATAAAGCTTCATCAAAATCAGAAAAGCCAGATTGCAAATACACAGTTGATATCGAACCTCTCCTTATACTTACATGGCATTGCATGGTATATACTGGGCCAGTACTGCCCACTGTCTCTCTTCAGCCAAACACGAACTGTTCTACAAAAGAAAAAACACAGCATACATGTGAGGAAGAGTGGAAAAGTAACCATGAATGAAAACAAAGTGGTGACGATAAATGTACAAGACCTTCTTCAAAATTAAAGTATTTTGCTGAGAGGGAAAATAAACGTGCAAAATCCTACAGCAGCCTGATACAACAAACTCAGATTAGCCTCTGTAAGGTGATGAGGGTAGACCACTCTTTGGTTCCATGTAGTATTCGACATCTTGTCTGAACATACCACAGCAGTATTTGGAAACTGCTATGCTTTTTTGTTCTTTGCCTTTACAAGGACTTGAACATGACTGTTCATTCAATGCTTCACATGAGGATTTGGGACACCATATGTAGACCAGGAAAGTATTCCTGTATCAGCACTTCCAGTGCTCTACAGAAGCCTTCCCCACTGGCACTTAGGGTAGGCCTTGGTCCATCTGCTGCCTGTTGTTTCATTGTTCTGCTTCAGGAAAACCTCTAAGAAAAGGAATGAGGTTCTGAGATTTTCAGCTTCTAATTACTAAGATTACATCTATCTGTGTCAACAATGAGCTCTTCAGCTTCAGGACCTTCCTCTCTCCTCAGTGCACTCAGGATGCTATGAAATGCCGATTGAGCATGAAGAAGCCAAACTCTTATCCTTCTCTCAAGAGGATGACTAAGGTGACAGGTAGCCTTACAGTTCTCTGCCCCATCAGTTTGCAGCTGCTGTCCTTGAATAGGGGCACTTAGAACCAAACATTGCTACCCACAAACACATCGGCATTTTCCTTTCTGCTAGAAGATCTTCCCAATCTATCTCAGGATTACGTTTGCTTTCTCATAATCATATTACAGTGTCAGCTCCCTGACACTAAATCCATGCCCTTCAGACACTTGAGATATTTGTTGCTTGTTTCCTTAGCAGAGGATCTGGACTGATGCTGTACCACCTGGGTCATTAAATATTTATTATTTCAGTCCTCATTGTCATTTGCTTGCTTTGATCCAATCTCTGAAGCTTCTTTCTAATTGAAGCTCTCTCTTAAATTCAGTTCATCAGTTAATTTCATCAAAACATGTCTAGTAACAGTGTCAACAGTTAAAGAAGCAGGCAGCCTGTAATCTCCTGCCTGTCCCTGCATAGCCCATGGTCACCTCAATTACAGCCTCCTGTTACCTGCTTTACTGTTCCTCTAATCTTTATCATATCCAATGTTAACTAGTAAATCCTACATGTAATACTGTATTCCATGTTTTACTGACTTATACCAAATGTATCAACCTTCTCTAGAAAATGTAGTTATCCAAGAGAACATTATGTTAGCATAGGACAGTAGATTTTGACCCATCACCCACTTCTAATTAGTCTTCTCCACCAAAGTTAGTATACAACAGCAGATACAATAATGATCTAAAAAAAATTATTGTTTCTATAACTTCCACTTGATACTATCATGGAAAAAGAAACAGTATATGAAATATGGAAATATAGCTTCTTGAGGAGACTACATGGTCATTTGTACTGTTACCTCATTTTCATGGAAATGCAGGTTGCAGACCTTTTTGGTCAGAAAAAAAGTTCAGAACTATAACATTATAATATAATATAAATTGATCTAAGACATTACATATACACAAATGCAGTCTGAACAGAGATGCCATGTAACATAATAAAGCAGTTTGAGAATTAGTAATCTATCCTTCAAATTTCAAGCCAAAGGCTGCACAACCACGTGTTCCAAAAGGTTTCTGCTCATCTTACCCTTAATTCAAGCCCTTTTTACAGCAAATAACTCAGAGACCTTGTTTATTTAGGCACTACACAAGCTGAATCATTTTAGAAATATCTCATGCATACACTTTGACACAGTATGTTGCTCCAAAAACTAAAATTTCACTGGGTCAACAAGTCCCATGGTTAGAAAGCTCTCACAACTTACTCAAAACATACAACACTCCGTATCATTATCTCCTAAGTCTAATGGCCTTTTTGTGTCAAACACAGCAGCAGATCTTCAGCAGCTATGAAATAAAACCACCAATACTTTTTATAAGAGACAATTCACCAGCCTATAACAACACCACCACATTTTTAATTGGGACAGGGGCAAATTCTCCGCTCATTTCTCCCTGTAGCTAACCATAGCTGTTGTCAGAGTGGCACTGTGCATCCAGATCTCAGCACGCATATCTGGGAAGACATCCATAGCCACAGGACCGTATGAAAGGTTTGGGTGCAAAACCTTTGGGTCCACCTTTGCTAAGAAGCTGGTCATTGTAACTATGGAAGTATGTCAACTTCTCTGTTTCCCAAAACAGAGGAGATCTTAGTCATGTGTTTATCCTCGACAAGTGAGGTGACTGTGGGAATAAATGAATACGCACAAAAAAATAACAGGATGAATCACAAGGAGCTGAAATAACTCAATACAAGACAGCCCTGAGGAGGTGCACTAATATCCTGTGAGAGACCTGTCTTTCTTGACCATCCCAATCTATATATTCGAGTGCTATCAGTTTCAAAATCCCGAGGCTTTGACAAGGTTGCCTCTCCTCTGTGCTTTAAGGTTCTGGCAAGTAACAAACCCAGCACAACATCTTAGAGATAATTCAACTTGCTTGAAAAGGACTATGTAGAAGAACAGATGTTTCAAAAGCTAGAAGAAATAAAAATTACCTTTATTTGCAAGAATGGCAATCATTTGGACACTATGTTTTAGTTTTATTGTTGTTTTTTTAAACTGCAGTATACAATTATGTCAATGTTAAGACTTCTAGATAAATTATATTGAAACAAAAAATATTTTCTATTTAAGTTAAAAAAAATCCAAACAAAAAACTGGTGGAGGTTCCTAGTTAAGAGTGAAACTACTTAAACTAGTACAGGCCTCTTCTCTAGGTACACAGTATGCTCATTTCTTTATGTAGTTAAATATATTTCCATTCAATGACTAATTCATGCAAAATGAGAAACAAAGCATTCTAAGAATAAAAATACCATGAAAAGACATCATCTAACTGTATACAGTGTGTGAAAAGGCACATAACCAGCAAGCCAAGTTCATGTAACTCAATACAGAAACACCATCTCCTCAGTAAATAATTCTAAATGAAGAAAACAAAAAATACCTTATAAACAATGTATTTTAAAATTAAGGACAATTACTATGCATATCTTTAAAACAAACATTTAAAAGTTATGTTAAGCATTATAATGGAATCCCAATATCTATGTATAAGATGATGTAAAAGACTAAAAATTCTTCCTTATATAATGGTGACCCATAAGTTTCTTCTCTTAGGATCAATGGAATAGATAAAACATTTTATTGAAAGAAGAAAAACTGATCTCAGTTCATTAACCTTTTCTAGATAACTTTTTCTCAAAGTAGATTCAAGCTAAAGAGCAAACAGCACCAACTACCAAATTTGGGAGAAGCCACATTTTCTTGGAAGAGCACATCTTTTTTCAGCTGCAGTTGTGTACCTTTCTGTATACTTCTTTAAAGAATACTACCCACTAGATGAGAAACCCAAAGCACTTGAAGCTTCTAAAGAATGCAAGGAAAAAACCCAAACATGAACAAAACCAAACTTTTTTTATAGATATATGGCATGAAGAGTACTTGCTGCTTGCATGGTTACTGGACTTAAACACAGCACCTATCCAGCTCAGGATCCATTCTTCAACTGCACTAGAGTGATGCAGTCACCATGGAAATGAGCTGTCCCTTCACTTTGTTATCAGTAAATTGGCTTGGAGAGATTTTTAGAACCTGTCAAATCAATGGATATTCTTCTAGTCTTTTCATAACAGAGATGATTTATTTTTAAAGAAGATGGGCTATACAGAAATAATTCTGCCATATAAAAGACAGACTGTGTCTTCAAATATTAAGGGAAAGTGAAAAATGTATAGTTTAAAAGAAGAATTACTTCTCTCTGGTACACTCAAGAGAATGTGTCTCAAGTCCAAGTGGCTGTCGATGTACCAGCAGGTCTCAAGCACACTGCCAGGCTGTGTACATGTGCAGGAGGCAAGCTTCATCTGAATGCCTGCTGCTCACAGAGGTGCCTATGTCAACAGCAGCACATCCACCTTGGCATGGCAGCTCTGTGCTTCATCATCTACAGAAACTTACTCAGTCACTGGTATGTCATTTCTGATAAAGATGTTTTGCTCATACAAACCATAGTTTATGCATTTAGGCTGTACTGTGCTCCATGAAAGTCCACACAATTCTGCCAGGCTGCATGCAAGATTCTCTACTCCATCCCTACTCTGGTCTGAGCAATCACCTCACTGCTGCATGACTCAAGTGTCACTTGGAGTGGTGGAGTTAAGTTTCTGTGAATCTGCCTGACTCATAGGCAGGGAGGGCTTGTCTTTTCTCCTTGGTGTCTTCCATGAAATTAATGCAAAAGACAAACACTGGTGTTGCATACAGTACAGACAGACTGACCTGTGTAAGCACTGTCTCAAGATGTTTGTATGTTACAATACTGTGAACTCTGTTGTAGGGAGATCCATTATGTTGAGAAACAAGTTACCTCTATAACACTCCACTTCTCCAGAATATCCATAAACCCACCAGTTCTAGTTGTACAATGTGAGTAAAGAAATCTGATATATCAGTTTCCCATAACAGATTCCCTCCTCTCCAGTTTGTGAATTTTTTTCCTTTCTTAATTCTGTCTTTATAAACATTTCTCTTTGATGAGATGCATAACATATTCTGTAACATAATATCACCTTCACACCCCAGGCATACACCAACCATATACCAAAGCAGAGGTAGCCCTAAAAGCATACAATGTACATATAATGTAGGTAATATTGGACTCCAGGAAAACATTTTAAATGGCATTTTAACACAGTCTTTATTGTTTATACCTTGGATCATATATTGCAGGATTATTTTATCTCTTGTCTTGCTGAGTGACCAAGAAGGGTAAGCATCAAATCTAGCACAAGATCTGAAATGAGTTTTATTCCTATTTGTAGTAAGCACAGAAA